CACAATCTAGTGTGATTGCTTCTGCTTCCAATTATATCAACGCAATGGAATGTTTTAGAAGGTTTGCTTAGATTCCACTAGATGGCTTTGCCATCAATATAAGGCGCTTATCCAAATTTTTAAAGGTATCGATACTTGCCAAAAGTTACTCATTTAGTTGAAGTATCGAAAACCAAGTATCGGTATCGAAAGGAAAAGTACTCGATACCACAAAGTATCGATACTTTTTTCGTGTCCCTAATCACTACCAACTCTGAGAGCGATCTTAAGGAAGTACGACCAAAACACCTTCTATGCGAATGTAGGCCTCTTATTCACAAACGTAGTATACATCTGGGACGACATATAATACGCCTAGAGGAAATCAAATCCCTAAAAGCCAGAAACGCTTCGAGATTCTTGGAAGCTGTCGGACTAAAAAAATACTTTAACTTCGTGGCGAATCACAATAGATCTTATAGGTCGCAGTGACTACAGTTCAGTTAGGACTGCATAGCCCCCAAAAATCTAAAATAATAATAATAAGTACGATCTTGAGATGCTGTTTTGTATGAAAACAGTATCTTAAGCTTGTCTCAGAGTTAAGAGCGACCTATTAATAAGGACCTAAATATACGTAGTCACTAACATTATAGCTATTAACGGGATTGTTACCATGTACCTTGTTTTTTATGAGTCTCAGTTACTCCGTGATCATGGCGCTTGCAACAGTGCCGAACTATCGGAGACTCATAAAAAACAAGGTACATGGTAACAATCCCGTTAATAACTATAATATTTTGCTTTAATTTTCATACGTAATTATATTACAAAAGCCTTAGCTAATGACTCTGTTCCACCTGAAGTACAGTAATCGTATAGTGATGTTGTTTTGCAAGTAAAAAAAACACATTTAAATATTCGATCTTCCTACTATTAAATTTGAAACTTCCTCTTACATTACGTATCGAAATTATGGCAACATTGCATAAAGATGTAAAAACACGGATGCATTAAGTTAAGTATATCGTAACTATAGTCTATTATAGTTACATATTATTGAACGCACAATAGATAATAAACTCAAGCAATAATTTAACTGGTGTTATGTAAAATGCAGATAAACTTAAGCAATAATTTAACCGGTGTTATGCGTATTTGTCGGGCACGGAAATTGAGACGAAAAAGATTAATCACAGGTTGGTGTCGATTCTGGCGTGATTCTCTAAACTTAAACTTAAAATTGACAACAGTGTATCCTAGTCATTTTCTATAAAGACTGAAAAGGAGGGACTGTTGTTAAATTTAGTTTTAAGTTTAGAGAATCACGCCAGAATCGACACCATTATAATTATAACGCTTAACCCCTTTATTACTAAATTCTTCGTTTATCAGCTTGGATTTTTTACTCTACGTTTTGTCTCTGTTGAATTATAAATGCCACTTAATAATAACAAAAATCTTATTTTTCTCTCCACAATCTTAAACATGCTTCATAGGTAACAGATTATAAAACTTAGGACTAAGGGTGCGGCCAGAGTGCACTCAGATTCAGAGTCAGATTCAGATTCTGAAAACAAGCGCGAGAAATAAACAGTGTAGTCTAAGCAGGTTGCCTGCTTTTTCTCGCGCTTTGTTTTCTGAGTCCGAATCTGAATCTGAATCAGGAGTGCAATCTGGCCGTACCCTTCGACTACACTGTTTATTTCTCGCGCTTGTTTTCGAAATCTGAATCTGAATCTGAATCTGAGTGCACTCTGGCTGCACCCTAAGATTGTGATAGACTGGTGACCAAATTAAGCCGACGCTTGTGTCTCAGTGCACCAGCCTCTAACCGCCATAAGAAACTGTTACATAAACAAAAAAATGGATGCGTGTAACTTATGTACGCGCGTGAGAAGTTATACTTCTTTAGCACCATTAAAAATATTTTTTAATTGTATGCAAATAATTAATAATTACAATAAAATAATAAAAGGACTGGAAAAGGATAGTTAACACAGTCAATTAAGTTCAGTTTTAATTTGAAAAATTAAATAAATATTCAAAATATTCAATTAAAATCACTACTGAATTTAAGTTATTAGTCCATATGTAATTAGCACTTGTAAGTAACTAAAACACGTTGTGTCTATATAGAAACTAGAAACATGTGGATAAATATTATAAATATGAAAACAGTGATCAGAGGCGACGAGCGTGCCAACATTGTTTTTGACAACGCGATCATCTTATGGAGCTCCGTGGATCGTTCAAAGTACCTTTCAAACAGACGTCTAATAATGGTGGATTATTAACCACTAAGTGGTTAATTCATAACGCGCCCGCGGCCAACTTCATGGTGTTACTATTGTGTTACAGTGATGCGCGCGCATCTCGAAATTTCACTCACATGATTTTTTCATAACGCGCCCGCGGCCAACTTCATGCTGTTACTTTTGGGTTACAGTGATGCGCGCGCATCTAAAAATTTCACTCTCATCATTTTTTCATAACGCGCCTAAAGAAGTATAACTTCAAAAAAACGAGCGAGCCTTACAGTAGTCGCGTATGAAGTGTAACATTTGAAACCTCATTTTTTATTAGTAAAAAATGAAATAAAACCTACTACAAAAGGAATAAGCTATTTGAACATTATATTCTAAAATCAAATCAAATATCGCGCGCTTTCGCGACTTCCTGTTACACACTGCCTTCCCTTTTCACGAAATCACTCCCACAAATTGCAGGAAAGCGAGAGGAAAGATGTTACACATCAAAAAAGGAGAACTGAATAATTATAGATTGATATTAATTTGATTTTGCATGACAAGATATATGGTAGTGCTGGTTGCGAGTGTATGTGGACGTGGGTGTAAAACTTGAGTGATAAAAACAAAACACGACGTAACTATTCAAAGCTTATTCCTCGTTTATTGAAAAGGGGGTATGAGTTGTGGCTACACATAAGCAGGGATTAAAAGGCACAGCCGGGCGGAAAAACCGAATATATGTAGATGAATATTCGGCAGTAATTACTACGGGTCGGCTTTATTATTCGACAAATACTGCCGACCCGATTATGCCGGCCCGATTATGGACCGTTAGGAAAACCACATTGAAATAACAATACCTTTTGGCGGTGTTGTGTTTCTGTCTGTGAGTAAAGTTTCAGGGCTCGACGGGATAGGATACTATGGTATCGCCAGCGTTTCTACGCTATGGCAGCCGCTTATCATCAGGCGAGCCGTATTCTATGATTTTGTTGTATGTAAAAAGAACATGTTTCAAAAGCAAATCTCGCAATTTTATGTAAAACCATGAAAGGTTTGTTATTAGGAATGAATCAACTGATGTTACTAGAAAAATACCGAAAGATCCAGGATTTGAGAAATGATGACGAGAGGTGGACTGGGTCTTCATCCGACCTGCACCTCACGATTCGCATCCTTCTTCATCATGCGATCCTAGGGTAGCCAAAACCTAATAGCCGGACAGACCAGCCAGTTTGTTCGGACATTTGGGTAAAAAGGCTGGCCACCCTATATTATAAAAAAAAAATAGGGGTTCTGTGGCTCAGTAATTTTATGTAAAAGCGACCGACAGTCAACTCGCTTGCGCTCGCCCACGCTCGGCCGTCGCTTGTTTGCGAAATGTATAAAGTCTAACAAAAGCCGGACAAGCCGGATACAAAGCCTTACTATGTCTTACGGCCTTATCCGGACCGCACGTTTAAAAAAATCTTCTACGTTAATTTCAATTCAAAAAACCTTCTATAGTTTCCTTGTAAAGTATAAAAAAAACGAAAGGCATGAAGCCTTTTCTTAGACGTGTGAGAAACAGTAAATGCATTTGTTTGTTTAGATAACTTGAAAACTAATCATTGGATTTTTTAACCCAAAAAGTGGCCCTATTTTTTTATAATGCGGTATACTCTTCCGTTTTTGGGCTACCGACTTACGTTATGCGTATCTTTGAACTCAATTAGAACAATAGTTTGGAGCAAATTGGCTGTGACAAACGAACACAAGGACATTTTTTCTCTTTTGATTTGACTCACTGGCTTAATAAAAAAGGAAATAATTTTTTCTTTCAATAAGAGAATAAATAATGAAAAAATAAGTATAAGCCAACTAAAGCAGAAATTAAAAACGGTTTTTTCCGAATCGGAAAATAAAAACTTTTTTTTAGCTCAACTAGAACTTTTATAAAACTGAGATCTCCTGTTTATTGCGTTAGATTTTTTTTATTTACCATAGGTTATAATCATATTTTTTTTAACACGTCGTGCAATCTGTTGCATGTTCCTTTTCTTATTTCAATACCAAATATGTTAGAAGTGGAGTAAAAGGTCAAAATATGTTTTATAAATATGGTTGAGATGTTGTTTTATTGCACTTTAAGTAAAGATTAAAGGCCGAACTCAAAAGCATATTTTTTTAATGTCATAACGATCTATTGAAATTTCTATCAAATGGCAAATCAATAAATCGGGATTTCGGTTAGTTGTCACCGATCAACTGTTATTCAATGTACTAGCATTCGATATGGCTTTTAAGCTTGATTATTGTTGATTTGTTAGATTTCGTGATTTCATATGACAGTCGTCACATTGAAAGGATTTTGTAATCCCTAAGGTCCAGTTGCAACAAATTAGCTAAATTTCGCTTCAACTTAAACTAGATTCAACCCATAGCAAAATGTCAAATTGACATTATTGTATGGGCGAAATTTGATATTTAATGAGATTTAGCGAAATTGCTGCAAGTGGACCTAAGTGCGAGCAATAAGGTTTCAAATTCATTTGATGATTGAAAGACACCACACACAGATCGTGTTCCAATCTTTTTTACTAATTAAATATGGGTGCAATACAACCAGCCTATCTTGTGTCTTAACTTACATACATTTACATTCTACACCTAATACCATGTTTAAGAAATCAAAATCAGTTTTGCAACGAACCAAGTAATAATATTGAGACTAGCTTTTGTGTATAACCAATATCACATACATGATTAACACACATCATTGGTGAACAGGTGACTTAATCGAATTGATCGGACAATTCCCACACGAATCATATGACTATCAGAACACAAACCAATACGAGGACCCAATCGTCGTGTACACGGACACAACCCGCCCGAAACCACACTTGAGTCGGCCCGAATCCGACTATAACCGTCCGAAACCGACTAACACTCGGCCCGAACTCGACTATAACCATCCGAAACCGACTAACACTCGGCCCGAACCCGACTATAACCAGCCGAAACCGACTAATAGTCGGCCCGAGTCGGACCAAAACCACCATACCGACTGGGGTTATGGACAGAACAATTATTTTCACGTGAAACCTTCATACCACGAGAGCACAACACAAACAGATTACACTTCCAATGATGCTGATGATTATGTACCAGTTGTAACTAATGGCCACAAGCCACAGAGGCCGAGTTACCCGGGTGAGACTGATTTTATTTATTTTTATTTTAAAAGCAAAAGCGATGAAACTCGAACGCCACTCTTTTATAACGAAAACACCTTCCTAAGAATATTGTGTAAAAGTATTCTTCTAATATTTTTGATTCTGATCTTGCACATTCTGTGTACCTGCTCGTTAGATACTGCACTTTCGTACGCAGTAATTGAGTAACAAAAATATAAAATATATCGTCTTTTAAATCTTATTTAAGACAGTTAAGTTTTTATTTTTTAAGCATTTAGCTGCTAGATGTTTAAATCTAAAGAAAATTAAAAAATAAAAACTTAACTTTAATTTGCTCTTCTTTCAAATGTTTAATACTTGTAAAGGTATTCATTTGACATTGTGAGTTACCTACAATGCGAAGAGATGACGCTGCCTTGCAGTCTAAGAAGGGCTAGAGAAAATTCGACACGGCCATCAGGGCCGCGGTAGCATAATGGGCAGTGCATTCGCCCGGATAGCGAAGGTCCACGCGGAATTTATTCTAGTAAAATTTTCTTTAGACTTATTTAAGATATTTTATAAAGCTTATAGCCATAAAAAGTGATTTTTGAAAACCTTTGGCTTTATTAAAAGTTTTATTTTAAATGTCTGTTGGACTCTTATAAATATTCACCAAGTCTACTTAAATATTATCACCTGATTTTCTACCTTATAAATGTTAACGCATACCATTTAATGATTTTGCTATTTAATTTCCATATGTAAGATTACTTTAACTTTCTTTATAGCAAGCCTTATAGACTATAAATATTACATAAAATCTAATATCTGTCTACAAACGCTGGTAGTTCAGTAAAGAATTTATTGCATGATGTAATAAAATAAACACAAACAAATACTAAAAATTATTAAATTAAAAAAATAATTGGGGATTGTTACCATGTACCTGGTTTTTCTATTAGTCTCCGATATTTCGGCACTGTTGCAAGCGCCATGATCAGGGATTAACTGAAGTAATTGCGGGTAGATGTTATTGGCAGACATATCGGTCTACCCTCCGACGTAGTCTTTTAGGCGCTTAGCAGACGACGGGGCGGGGCGGGCGGGGCTATACTTCAAACGCACACAGAGGGCAAAAAGACCGCGCCGCAGGTGTCCGGCGGGCAGTGGTGGCGCGGCATGTCCGCGGCTGCCCGCCGTGTATCATACAAACCAGTTTATATGCAGTAACGCAGACGGCGGCGCGGGGCGGTCATGGACTATTCACTAGAACGAACGTCCTAAACTGACCGCCTCTGCCCGTCGTGTGCTTTGTGTACGCGGCGCGGGCAGCCGCAGACATCGACGGGCAGACGCGGTCTTTATTGCTTCGCGGACAAAATGCCCGCCCCGCCCCGTCGTCTGCTCAACGCCTAAACTGCGCTCGATACGTACCATTGGTGACATTCTCACTATTCACTTTAATAGCTATAATGTTAGTGACCATTAAAGTTTAAAACAATATAAAAGATTAAATAAATATTTATGGTAAGTAAGCAAACGTGGCGTTCGAGTTATTTCGCAACATAGTTTATCTATCTCTTTTCTGCTTTTCATTCGCACAGCGTTTTCAGTAGATTGTATCATAATCATCACGCACCATTTCACATTTAATTAAATAAATATATGCACAAGCTTTTTGAAATAATTCTAAGGGCGTATTCTCAAAATCAATACTCAATGTATCGTGTTTTTTTTTCGTTTCGTTTAATGTTTTACTCGTGTTAATATGTTTCAGGCTTATGTCTTACACTTTCGTGCACATTCACCAAACTAACTCACTTATCATAACATGCACCCACTACGGAAATATAAACTAGAAGTGGTGGGTGGCCCGTGGTTTGACTGTGTGTTTTAATTTTGTTTTTGTAATATTTCCAACACCCACACCAATTAGCCTAGTCCCAAAGTAAGCACTGTAAGGCTTGTGTTATGGGATACTAGGGTAACGGATTGAATAGATATACTGTTCATATATAAGTATATTTATATAGAAATACATATTAAAACATCCAAGTCTGGAGTACAAATGCTCGTATTCATCACGCAAACATCTGCCCCCACCGGGATTTGAACCCGGGACCTCTCTAGTCAGCGACACCATGAAACCCGGCGTACAAACCACTCGCCCACGGAGGTCGTCAAATCGATAGGCCATACAAACTTCCATTCCCCCTGTCACACCCTTAAACGATGATTACTGAGATTAAAACTATCCTATGTCCTTTCCCAAATCTATAATAATCCCCCCCCCCCCCCCCCCCAGGTCATCGAGTGGCGATATTCTTGTGCGAGAGATTAAACTGAGTATACACGTGGCGATTTAGTTGATCAACTGTTATATCGCATGCAATTTGTACTGCCTGAACAGACTTTCAATCAAATTGAAGAAATGCAATTGAAAGTATTTGTTTCTTAGGTTTTCACGCACACCACTCATTAAATAAAACAAGCTGCAACGTGTCGTCATAATAGGGGTGATGACGGGGTACAGTAAACGAAATTCTATTTAGTCCGTCAGTTAGATGTTAAAAAAATAATGGACACTTATTTTTTCTTTGGGCAATCAACCAAAAAATTACAAAGTTATAGCGCGTCAAAGTTTGGGAGTAGGGGCTCGTGACGTCACTTTTGAGTGAATTTTCACTTATAAGTGTACTCAAACGTGACGTCATGCAACTTTTCAAATCAATATATCTCTGCAATGTTTATATTATGTGAAAAAAGAAAAAATACGTGTCCAATACTTTTTGATAATCTACCTGATAAACGAAGAAAAAAAATTAGTCATCATCCCTATTATAGACGCAGCCTGAAGAGGATTCGAAACGTCCAGAAACAAATTAGTTAAACCGTTGAAGCTTATTTTCAATCAATCAATACTTTATTGCCTTCTATATTATATTAAATCCTGCCTGTTATATTAAATCTTAAGAGCCATTTTACAAAATTGCGCCACTGCCGTACTGATCGGCGCGTAGGTAGATTGCACTAGTATATATTACCATATATTATAGTGTATTATAGTATACCTAAGAAACAAATAGTATATATTGCATTTTACGGGTGATGTTTCGAGTCTTATAAAATAATTATTAATGAACTAATTATAAAAATATATTCATATTTCAGTAGTTCAATGATGCTAGATTAGTTTTATGAAAGTTTTTGATAGTAATTCTATTTAATTCAATATCAAAATACGAGGTAAACCTCTTATCGCATTATTTTTTGGGTTTCTGCACGATTTTTTTCAAAAAAAATGTGAAGGGGCTCTTAATAGGTACATTCCTTTGATCATTGTAGACGCTGAACAGGGTACAGCACGACATGAAGACACAACATTAATTTATTTAATGCAATTGAAAGATAAGTTTGATCAATTTAAATCGCCTCGTGTGAACCCCGTATTAATGTGATCGTACGGCCAATGAATTGAAAATATCAAATTCAATTCACACGCAGACACAGAATAGCACTGTTGTTTTCTGTCCTGTTCCTCATCTGTAGTCGTGAGCACCCACCGTGGCTCACGTGTTGGGTCATAGCCCATTCTCCTATCCAACCATAGGGCAGGCTTATGCCCCAGCAGTGGGAACGTTAAACGCTGATGGTGATGAACCAAAAAGCTCATACAAACGGATATTTTTCAGGTTGTGGCGAACACTACACTCGGTCGAACCGTATCGTAGGCGGCCATTCGACAGGTTTCGGCTCGCACCCTTGGCAAGCTGCACTGATCAAGTCGGGGTTCCTCAGTAAGAAGCTCGCTTGCGGTGGGGCGCTCATATCAGACAGATGGGTGATCACGGCAGCACATTGCGTTGCTACGTAAGTTGTCATTTTTCTCTAAAGAAAATATTACTAGAAAAAATCCACTCGGACCAGGCAGCAGACGGGACTCGAACCCCCATCCTTCGCTGTCCGGGCGAATGCACTGACCATTATGCTACATTGACATTTCGGTTTGCAAACTATACGAATTCGATAATGGTTCGTGCTAGGAGTACTGTTATTGAAAGTATATTGTAGGTTTACTATTTTTTTAATGCAGTGAAGTATGGTATGTATACTGGTTTATAAATATACTAGCTGACCCAGCGAACTTCGTACCGCCCTAAAAAAATAGGGGTTGTCCAGCGGACAAAATTGTGAATCTAAACCATTCTCAGATCCCCTTGAACACACACAAAAAATTTCATCAAAATCGGTCCAGTCGTTTAAGAGAAGTTCAGTGACATACACACTCACAGAAGAATTATATATATAAAGATTTATCGCTGTAATTCGAGTGGAAATTCACAGAGGAATTACCATTTTCATAATAATTAGTGCCTTATAAAAACTCAACATTTCTACACTAATTGGCCTGGTCCCAAAATTAGCACTGTTAAGGCTTGTGTTATGAGATACTAAAGTGACCGATGGAAATACGTAGATAAGTATAGAACTATTTTTATCAAATTATAAATAGTCATAAATTAGGTACAAATCTATTTAAATAAAACTCAAAGGTGACCGACTGACATAGTGATCTATCAACGCACAGCCCAAATCACTGGACGGATCTGGCTGAAATTTGGCATACAGGTAGATTTTATGACGTAGGCATCCGCTAAGAAAGGATTTTGATCAATATCCCCCAAAGGGATAAAATAGGGAATGAAAGTTTGTATGAAACTTTGTCAATTTTAAACCGATCGGGCTGAGACTTTGCATGCAGGTATAAGAAGAATCATAGATGAATGTCATTGTGTATAATACAAGCCTGAGAACAAAAACTGTAGTCTACACTTCAGCTCTACACCGAACCATCGGGTTTAGAACGCTTAGAACTCTCAGTAGGCGACACCTTAGTTACACACCACTCCATCACGGAAGTCGCCTAATAAAGATTTAGAAAAAATGCATAACTAGGTTTCATTTCACTCTTTTCCATAGGACACCAAACTCCCAGCTCCGAGTACGTTTAGGGGAATGGGATGTCCGCGACGCAGGGGAAAGGTATTCCCATGAAGAGTTCGCGGTGCAAAGAAAGGAAGTACACCCCTCTTACGAACCAGCAGACTTCAGAAACGACGTAGCTCTTGTGCAATTGGACAGAGGGGTGGTTTTCAAACAACACATATTACCAGTAAGTGCAACTTCATTCCCAGATACCTATTGTTTAATTTCCAAATACCATCATCATTAGCCTATTAATGTTAGCCAGCCGACTTCATAAACGACGTAGCCCTTGTGTTACTAGACATAGGGGTGGTTATCAAACAGCACATAAGGCGAGTAAGTATTAGGATATACTATTTCCAAATGTTCTATTATATAACGCCAATCGAAATAGTGCAGCAAAAGCTGGTGATCCAATCATCACCAGTGTTGGTCGCGCTAACCGCAAATGAAATGCTTTGCTTGCTCACGTGTTCCTTCCCTCCTACAACCCGGGATCCTTTAAAAGTGGCATGAAGGAGCAATGTGCAAGCCGGCAATACCTATTTCTTTAAATTTATCCCTAAGAGAAGTTCGAGATCCCTAGCGATAAATAGCTCTTATTTGAAGAATAAAAACTGTTTCAATGTCAGCGGCCGTGCCCCATAATAGAATGCCATACGACGTAATGCTGTGAAAGTGGCTGAAGTATATTGTCCTAGCAGTGTCGACATCTGTAAGCCGTCTTATTTTATAAATTGCATAAGCAGCAGAACTTAGTTTACCGGCTAGCAGGGCCGGATTTAGGATTGTGGAGGCCCAGGGCCACTTAGGATTTGTATGCTTATTGACCCATCGAAATGTTGTTATTTCTTAAGCTGTTGTGGAGGCCCCTGGGCCACGAACCCATCTGCCCTGCCTTAAATTCGGCCCTGGGTAAAGGTAAAAGAGCAAAAAAAATATCAAAGGAAAAGATGTTTACTAGTTGGAATTTGAAATTTTTTTTACGATGTCTCTATTGTGGGGGCCCCCCTTTGTGGAGGGCCCGGGGCTTTCGCCCCGGTTGCCCTCCCCTAAACCCGGCAATGCCGGCTAGTGTTGTATTGCATTAGGGTACGGCCAGAGTGCACTCAGATTCAGATTCAGATTCAGATTCAGAAAACAAGCGCGAGAAATATACAGTGTAGTTTAAGCAGGTCGCCTGCTGCCACTATGGCCACCCTGCTTTAACTACACTGTTCATTTCTCGCGCTTGTTTTCTGAGTCTGAATCTGAATCTGAGTGCACTCTGGCCGTACCCTTATACTATAAGATGCCTTTTAAAATCTTCGCAGCAATACTGACCACTAAAGTTGTTTCTAATTTCCTTCCTAAGTACCAACGAACAAATTGGTTCGAGACCTTCTTGCCCGAAAATGCAATAATGCAAAACAGCTAAGTTTTCCTTTATAAAGTTAATTGTACTTATTTATTAGATTATTTCACTTAGAACCTTCTAATAACAAAGCAAATGCATTTATATGTGTAACAGATCCTTGAAATTCGACCCTTGTTTTGAACGCAGCATCATCATCATCATCTTTGAAATAAAATTGGGAGTATGGTAACAAATGAAATCATTTCTTCTCTCCAGGTATGTTTGCCTCAAAAACAAATGAAGCTAGCGGGCAAAATGGCAACTGTCGCCGGATGGGGTAGAACTAGGCACGGACAAAGCACCGTCCCTTCTGTATTACAGGTGTGTAGATTTTATAAAATTATAATTATTACTGTACCTACCCCTAGCACGAACCATTATCGAATTAGAATAGTTTGCGAGTGCGAAATGTCAACGTCAAATTTTATATAAAAACTTGAACAGCAGCGCCACAAAGTACATAACGAGAACTAAAAATCAGCACACATTTGACAATGATTTTCATACTCGCAAACGATACGAATTCGATATTGGTTCGTGCTAAGGGTACTATTAACAAGCATGTTTATCATTTTTCTGAAGAGGTAACAGACAGACACACGTGCGCTTTGATACATATAATATTAGCCGTTACTAACTGACTGATTAATTATCAACACAAAATTAACCACTGAACAATAAAGTTGAAAAGTTTAAGCTTAACATTTATAAAAATTACGTATGTTATTGTGCAACAACATCTCATTTTAATTGATGTTCCACATAAGCAATTTTTTTTTCACATTTATACGCTCATACGTATTTTAAAGTCACAACAAAACGATATTAAAGTAAACAGTGATAAAAATTGCGTTTTAATGTAGTAAAACGCAATTTTTTTACTTGACGCGTTGAAGTCTTTTGTTCTTGTGGAGGCAAGATTCATAGTTTGATAGAAAATCCATTGATCCAGCGCAGCGAGATTTATTTGAGTTAAACGCAATGAGATCGTGGAGAGAATAAAGCTAAATTATACTTTTTATTGGTTGAGAGAGCGTTATGGGTGCATCAGTACATGATACTCATCATAATCAGCTTAATTTGGGCATAGACTTTCTTTATGGATGGCATAGGGACAAATCAGACTGCTCCTTGTAACTCCCGAAGCACGGAGGAGCTCGAGATGGATTAAATTTTGGGTCACCCATCCAATGACCGACCACTGCGAAGGTTACTTAACTTCAACGATCGCAGGCTGAAAACGTTAAACACCTTTTTTTTTAACGGTGAAATGCATTACGCATACCCCGTGCTTTGGGGTTAGCGCCATCCATACCAGGATACTCATGACCTCAGAATAGGCGACACTTCGAAAACTGGTGTTCATACCACTCAAACAGTTTTTTTTTTAATTTTTTTGTTATTTTTCTGAATGACAAGTATGAATGTTTCATTTATAATTAAATCTATGTTTTTGGTTTTAACTTTTAACTTATATTTGACGAAATCCGTGATGTAGTGTTATGTACACCAGTTTTCCAGGCCATTAACAGTACTAACCCACGTAAATGAAATACCTTATAAAGGATAGAAAATAAAACCACAGCGTTCACCTTGATTAACGGCAGACAAAAGCGTTGTACTTAATTACTACCAAATTAAATTTACAAAAATATTGAAAAACACCTTCAATAAAAAAGTTAATTTAATTCTCGTCTAGCTCAACAGATGGCGTTAGTAGTACACAAAAACTTTTATTAGATACATTGCTTTTAAAGATTTTTAGAAGATTTTAATAAATAATTACTTCCTCTATTTTCTTTTCATAACTTATTAGTAATTAAAATAAAGCACAGACTCAGAAACGCGTCGCCTAATAATACAAAAATGAAAATTCTTGAACTTCATGCGTTGATGTCGTTTGTTCGAGTCGATTTATTTCTTTGTTTGAATAATTATGGCTATGTAATTTTTTTAAACATTCAACTGTTATATTTTTAATTGTAAAGAAATTTTAACTAGAAAGATATCCTTTCCGCCCGGACAGCGGAAGGTGCATTTTCGATACCTGTCTAGGGCCTGGAAGAAGTGGAATTTCTTCCAGAAAAATAGGGGAAATATTTAAGAGATAGAGAGAGACAGAGAATGAGAGAGCGAAATATTTTATTATTTTTATTTAAATGATCCTCAACCTAAAAGTTAAAAGTAAGATAACCAATTGTATTTTTTGAGAATAAATTCCAATTTTTTTGATGATTATTTTAATGTGCTATGAAAATTTTCCGATTGATAATAGGATATTTGACAAGTTTTGGAAAACGATCTCACGTTACTTACCAATGTTTATGGAGTCCATGGTGTGGATATTCATCATTCTCTTGTGTATTACAGTAAAAATAACTGATTAAAAAACTCAATTTTCAAGTTGCCGCGAAAACGTTTCTCTGGGCAATTCAATTCAATTCAATATCGTTTATTCAGTCTAGGCTGTTACAAGCACTTGTGAATGTCGAAAAGCTACGCCATCGGTTCGCAAATCTATGGCGGGAGACCTTGTACTGAGAAGAACCGGCAAGAAACTCAGCAAGGGCTGTTTTTTTCTCCCTGTATTATATACAGAGTCATCAAATTGAAAAATGACTTCAATATGAGGTAACTCATAAAGTCACTTTTCATTACAAACAAAAAAAAATGCAAATAATATAAAAATTATGACTATAAAATAAAAAATAAAAATATGTAAAAAAAAACAAATGTGGTTTAACAAAGTTTAGGAATGACGTGTCCTACCGTTAAGGCAAAAAAAAAAAAATGAACGATTAAAGTTTAGAACAACGATTAATAGTACCCAGTGAATTAAGAGCAGACTCATCTCCGCTGGCAGCACCCGTTCACGAGCATGACGCATGAACCAGCCATCGCTTCGATAATATGACTTCTTCGGCAATATGACGTCTCACTGCTGTGTGACGTCACACGCCTGTCATTAAAACGTCAAACCATACAATTTAATGTCACTTTGCCCGGAAGTTTACTAGTGTGACGTCATGTTAGGCTCCGCCAATCCCAGGCGTTTTCAAACACGTGACAATAGATATGAAAACTATTATCTTTTTCGTGGGATTTTAGGAAAATTATGAATAAATTTTCTGTAATTTCACTTACGTTAGAAGCATACTGGAGTATGGATCCGAGATCTGGAATCCACGATACAACAAATACATTAACCGCATCGAGCGACTACAGGAAAAAATTGTGAAATTCTTGTGCTTTCGTCTGAAAATGCCCTACACTTCCACGAATTACTTAAGTTTATGTTCCCGATTTCACCTTCTTCCTTTATACAAACGGCGTGAACTATCTGACGTAGTAAATTTGCTAAAAATTATATCAAATAAAATTAACTCCCCTGAACTTATTTCTAAACTAAACTTCAATGTCCCATCGAAGTCAGCAAGGCACTATATCCCAATTAGTATACCATTAGTTTCCACAAATTATCGACAAAATTCATTCTTGTTGCGAGCGAGCATTGCACTGAACGAATTTTGCAAGTCTAGAAAAGACTTTGATATATTCAATTCTGGTGTAGCAACTGCAAGGCGTCTTCTATGCAGTGAATTTTTTGAACGAGTATTATGATAGTATCTATTCACTAACAATTGTGAACTTAAACTAAATAATAACATTAATTTGCTATTAATAAAAGAACATTGTTTAAGATTGTTAAGAGGGCGAATTGTCTTTACTATGTAGACTAATCATATTATTTTGTCCGCACGTTTTTAATTTTATATGTTAAAGTATAAAGATTTCTGTTTTTTAAACGTGGAGACCTGTAATTGGCCTTCTGTTACTAATTTTTCCTCAACTATGTCTGTTTTATGAGCTGTTGGTCTCCCAAAAATTAAATAAATAAAAATAAATAAATAAATAAAGTAATAATAGTAAAAAAACCCCTGCCAATATTCATTCTTAATACAGATGCTAACAATTAGCACTTTATTTTTAATACTGTCAAGTACCCTATTATGAATGTCTTAATTTTTATTAATAGTAGGTACCTATATCTTATATTTTTTGCCTATATTTATAGGAAGTGGATGTAGAAGTTATACCGAACGAACGCTGTCAGAGATGGTTCCGAGCGGCCGGGAGGAGGGAGACCATACATGACGTGTTTCTATGCGCCGGATATAAAGAGGTTTGTTGAACATAAAAGAGATTTATCATCAGCCTATTGACGTCCCCACTGCTGGGGCACAGGCCTTCCCTATGGATGAAATAAAGAGATTGGGCCATGACCCACCACGCGGGCCCAGTGAGGATTGGCGGGTGCTAACGACTGCAGATGCAGCCGGGACCAACAGCTTAACGTGCCTTCCGAAGCACGGAGGTACTCGAGATAGAAGATTTTTGGTCACCCATCCGATGACTAACCACTTTGAAAGTTGCTTAGCTTCAACGATCGCAGCCGAACGCGTTAACCACCCGCGATGATAAACATCAACAGAATTTTATTGACATACAATTTGATGAAATACAAATTCGAAAATGCATATGTGTTCATGCCAATTGGCTATACTGGTTTTGATAAAATTTCCCACACATGTTTCATATCAATTTGATCAAACTGTTTGTACTAGTATGTTTGATCAAATAACTTGAACGTATATGACGGCCATAAAGTGAGGGCTCTACCGTTCAGAACTTCTGACTATTAGCTACCTATTTTGACTGAATTGTAGAATTTGTGTAGTTAGGCCTTGAGAGTTAGAAGCTTGGCTCTACATGAGATCAAATAACTGTTTGACAGTGCGACCCATATGGTCTCGTCTTGACAACATTTTACATGGAACATTTTGGTGGGGCAACTTTCGCAGTGGTCGATCATTGGATGGGTGACCGAAATTCTTCTATTTCGAGTTCCTCAGTGCTTCGGAAGGCACTTTAAGCCGTTGATCCCGGCTACATCTGCCACCCACCCACCAATCCGCACTGGGCCTGCGTGGTGGGTCGTGGCCCAATCTCCCTAATCCATCCATAGGGAAGGCCTGTGCCACAGCAGTTGGGACAATAATGAAACTAAATGAAAAGTCATTTATTCAGTATAGGCTGTTACAAGCACTTGTGAAGGTCAAGAAGCTGCCGAAAGCGGCAATAGATTGGTACCATATTACTGTTACAAAAACTGACAAATACCCATCAAATAACAAATTACAAGAAACACTATGCCCATGCATTACGATCATTTAGATAATCATTAACTTTATAATAGCCCTTATTCATAAGAGTATTCTTGATCTAAGATTTAAATTTGGTTAGTGGAAGCTCAATCAGATCTTGGGGAACTTTGTTAAACAATGCAATACTACATCCCAGAAATGAACCTCTTGATTTTTGGAGTCTGAAACATGGAACGGCAAGCTTGTTCTTAAATCTCGTGTTAAAGTTATGTGATTGACTTTTTTGCAAATGCGTCATAGTTTTTTTTACATATATTATATTTTCATAAATGTATAGACTAATGATGATGATAATGAAAAGTCTGTTTGATCACATTACCTGAACATAGATGTAGTTAATTCTCTCAATTTCAATAAACTCATTATTTCATTATAATGTTTTAATTACCTTTTTAATTTTACAGGGCGGCAGAGATTCCTGCCAAGGCGACTCCGGGGGACCCTTAACGATGAAACTGGAGGGGCGAAGCACCCTCATAGGGCTAGTCTCATGGGGAATAGGATGTGGTAGGGAACATTTACCAGGAGTATATACAAACATACAGAAATTCGTGCCTTGGGTGGACAAAGTTATCGCCGCTCAGTGATATAAATATCGATTGATGAAAACAAATCAAAACAAAAATGGATATCCATACTAATATTGTAAAGTGTGTCTGTCTGTTACCTTTTCGCGTTTAAACCGCTAAACCGATTTAGATGAATTTTGGAGTCTAGATAGTTTGGGATCGGACATAGGATAGTTTTCATCCCAGAAATTATCCTTTAAATGGATAAAAATAATGTATAATACACCCCCTAGTGATATATAAGTAAACTCTTAGGCAGACGAAGCTTAGTGGTTAAACTTAATTTTGTTGAGTTTAGGTCAATATGAGACCACTACATACTAGAAATTAATGATGAGATTTTAAAGGATCATACTTTTGCATTGGTACAAAACACAAATTAAAGAAAACTAAGAGAAACATCAAACATAATAAAAAAAATGGTTGCCTGTAAAGTCGGTTTTACGGGCGAAGATTTTACGTGACAACGTCTTTTTCTCGGTAGAATATTTATTGATATGAATATAATTAAATTGCACAATAGGAACAAGGAATTGAATGAAAATAAGAATTGCACAAATTTTAACTATAGAAATATATTTTGTTTACTAAAACATTGTACATGTAAACTTAAACTTAACACGAGAGACTCATCGTAACGTTACCGAGCGTTACACTTTTTCATAAGTGACTCCCAGCCGCAACCTAATTTAAGACGTTGTCACGTCAAAAAAAGGAATCGGTGTATTATATGTCATTGTTAATAGATGCAGCCAATTGTATCAACAATCGAAAGATGTTAAAAGGCGTGATATGAAATTGAAATATCGTCAAGATATAATAATGAAAATGCTTGGTGTGAAAATATTTTTTTACATTAAATTATTTTTTGTATGATTGTTTTATTGTTAAAAAATGTAGTATGTACAGTTTGAAGTCAACTCAAAGGACAATGGGCCAACGTCCATGTTTTTTTTTTTATTAATCAGTTTTATTTTTTACTTTTATTTGTTTTTAACGATGTAAATAGTTATTGGATAGAAGTCATAGATAAGGTCTAAGAGATAAATTTGTTCCTTATCTTTTGTTTCGGTGCTAATTTTCTCCGGAAATATACAAAAAATTGTGTGTGTCAGCTCCGACGCACGACTGGAGTTTACTCCTTAAGTTCGATAGTCTAAACAGACGCAAAAAGAGTTTATTTAACTTAAAAAAGATTGATACTGTATGAAAGGGTAAGTTAACAAATTAATGAAAATAATATACATATATAAATATATATTTATTCATTTCATATACATTTATTATAACTAATTGACGAAATATTTTATATTAAACTTTTTACAATAGTCAATTACAGATGTGCATAAATATATCATTAGGAATGTTGATAAATTATGTAATAATTATTATCAGACTATTATCATTTTTTAAAATATTAATTAAATCAACATTGTCTGCATTATTAATTATAGTGACAAGTGGTTTATGGTAACTAAAATAAGACACATGGACGTTCGTAGATACGTGGTTCACGAATCTTGAAAATACCACATCAATGGTTGAACCATACCTCGTTGTCCTCATTGCTCTATCAGAAACAATATCTTAATTCAGTTCAGATTTAAAAAAAAAATATTAATGTCAATCCGTCATCTTTATTTGTCAAAGTTGCGCGACATAGGATGCGCACCAAAAACGTAACGAGGTCATTCATCGATAGATTTTACTCCTCACATTTTTCTCATACCGGGCCCCTTTCCAATGCAAATCGATTCTTAAGGAGTAAACTCCAAAAATATTTTGTTTTATTTCTAAATTGTGGTATTATAAATATGAAATACCTGTATTGTATTTTGTCAGTTAAAACTTTCAATTTAATACGATATGATAAGCAAAAGCAAGCCAAATTAAAACTCTAGATTGTCTGTTGTTGCTGGTTTCGCAAGAATGGGATTCATTAAGGTCCCACGGATGTTTTAATTTAATATGTTAGATGTTAACTTATTTATTTGTGAACTTGTTGTAGACAAATGCGAGTTTTTATAAATGATTATTTTGTAATAAATTGTTTTTATTTTACGTAGATGTCTGGTGTATTTATTTTACCGTAAGAATATTTTAACACATCTAGCGGTCAGCATTTTTATTCTTAATTTCTGGTTGGATCGCATTGATGGCAACAAAACAATACATAGAATGCATAAAAATAGAACAGATCTTAAAATTTGTAAAATTCTATCAATCAACAATAAAGTATCAAACTGGTTAATTAGCCGAAACTTTCTATCGATTTCTTAACATAAGACAAGCGATTTTTTTATTATAATTATAGAAAGCAAGCTTATAACCAGGCTGATGATAAGATACATGAACTTTAATTACACTCAATAAACACCAACAACAACGGCTAACTAGAGCCGAGGTCCGAGTTTCTGAGACGCCCTCTAGTTGAGCCGACCCCCTCAGGTACGAGTGGTCTAGAGGCTTCAGACGGAGAGGAGACTCCCTCGTGGGGAGATGCCATCCACCTGGAATACCTCTAGAGGCACTCGCCAATTTTCGGCTTGAAGTCCCCTTAGGAAGTATTAAAGGTCATCTGCGAACAACAGCTTTCTCACTCAAAAAAAATCAATACAAAAGCATCACTAACAAGTTGGCAACCCCACTAACCCCACCTCTACTCTTTCTTCTACCCCGAGGAACTCTAAAATCTTACCGAAGGAAAGACAACACTATTAAAAGTGGTGAAAAACAAAGCTTCCCCAAATAGGTGTATTTAATCTCCTTAAGTATTCAATAAGATGCAATCTCACTTATGATCTAATTTATTCTGTTTTCTGGCTATTGTCAAATATCAAATGCTGACTGATTCTACAGACATAGCGACTTTTGCCGTGTAATAGCGTAATGCATATGTCTAAAATGGCAGCTACCGTAATTGACACTGAGATTTTATTTTACACTACCCGCCCTCGCTTCGCTTCGGTGTAGAGCTGAAGTGTAGACTACAGTTTTTTTTCTCAGGTTTGTATTATACACAATGACATTCATCTATGATTCTTCTTATACCTGCATGCAAAGTCTCAGCCCGATCGGTTTAAAATTGACAAAGTTTCATACAAACTTTCATTGCCTATTTTATCCCCTTGGGGGTAGAATTGATCTAAATCCTTTCTTAGCGGATGCCTACGTCATAACATCTACCTGCATATGAAATTTCAGCCCGATCCGTCCAGTGGTTTGGGCTGTGCGTTGATAGATCACTATGTCAGTCAGTCAGTCACCTAATCACCTTTGAGTTTTATATATATAGAGATAATAGCTCTACAGCTATACGGTATTTCTTTTTAATATATTTGTCAATAAAGTCTAAACAACATCAACTTTTGACCGATTCTTAATACTTATATTCTTTTGTTAATAATAACCAATTCGATTCATTAGTGTCTAAAGCAAGAAAACGTTTGAATAAATTATACATTTCTTATCGATAGTATAAAAAATTTATTTTTATTTATTTATTATTTATTAATTAAGGACAGCCAACAAAACAAACACCAAATAAAAATACAAACTGAGAAAGCAATAAAGAAAACAATTCTTAGTGCTGCCTTTCTTAAGGGCTGCCACTGCATGCGTAAAAAATTTGCTTACGAAGTAGACTTACGAAACAAAAATAAGAGAATCTAGTACAAATACTTCAAAACTATAAAACTAAATATTAGATACATATTAATATCCATTCTGACATCATTCTCCAGACCCAAAAACAGATCCAACATCAGTCCCTCACTTGCACTCTGTATTGAGAATGACAAGGATACACTGCCGCCTAATCCAAGTCTAGGCCTAGAGAACGCTGCCAAAATCGACGCCGTTGTGGCGGTATGCTTAACAATAATATGATTGATCTATGTGGGTACAAAGGAGTCTAAAAGAGCAGACTTAAATTTGCGAAGAGAAGAAGACATGTCTATATCACTGTGTTTGGATGAAGCGGCCAGCGTACGTGATAGTGTGTTATATTGTGACTGAAGTCTATTAATGGTACAAAAATGACCAAGGTTAGTTCTGGAAGCCCCTGCTCGGAAAGGTGCATAACGTGAAGGTCGAGCAGATTTATATGGGATATTAAAGTTAATCTGCGCTAACAAGTGTGAGCAATCTAAGTGACCGTTTAGTAATTTGAAAAAGAAAATGTGATCATGCATTTTACGTCGATTTTCGAGACCGTTAAGCTTAAAGTGAATCAAACGCGATCTGTATGTGGGTAGTTGTTTGGACAAGTAGTGTTTATAAGTTAAGTGCCCCAAGAACCTTTTTAATACGGATTCAATACGTTGTTTATGAACCTCGTAATACGGTGTCCAAATCACACTGCAGTATTCTAAGCCAGATCTAACCAAGGTGTTGAAAACTGCTATTTTGCTTGAGGCTTGTCTAAATTCCTTGCAATTTTGCTTGCAAAATTGAGGAGTTGGTGAACAAAACGGTATAATTTTGCATTTGGTAAAACTACATTTATTTACAGTCCGGAGGTTTCAGGCCCGTTGAATTTGAATCTCAAATAATTTTCATTCAAAACCGCTTAAAACAGTGTTAAAATTACAAAATTTATGAATTAGAAACCATGCCAAAAGCTCACTGTAGGTATGTCATTCAGTTCTATATAACTCCAGTAACTTTTAACTTTATTTAATTACACAGTTTTGTTCGCAAACTCCTCAAATATCTACTGATAAAACTTGCAGTTTGTGTAGATGATACATGTTATCAAGACTTTTTGATGAGTGTATATTTCATCGATTTCATCATCAGCCTTTGAATATCCCCAATGCTGAGGCACAGGCCTTCAATATTAATGGAAATAGGAAGATCGGAAATAGAGAATCCACCACGCGGGCCCAGGGTGCATTGATGGATGCACACGACTGCAGATGCAGCCTGGACCTACGGCTTAATGTACTTTCCAAAGAACGGAGGAGCTCGAGATATTAAGTTTTTGGTCACCAATCAACTTAAAATCTAGACATATAGACCAACTTAATATCTCTAGTTATATCGGCCTATGATAGGCCGTAATTACCTAGTACGAAAGTACCTAGTTTTTCTTCCATGATGGCAGAATGAATCCGCATACCAACTGTACCATCAAACTACCCTATAGTACTCTGTAATATAACATACATTTCCTTTTCAAATAAATATCAAATCAATAAAAATAATAGAAGAGAACGGAAATGAATTTGTATAACACGCAATAACAGAGCCATCTATGAAAGCAGTCAAACTGTTGCTACTCAACTAAATTCATAAGCCAATGCTTGCAAGCATTCAATAGTTCTAAACTTATTCAGTATATTCACAGCCAAAGAACAGATGGCGCTTTTATCGAAAACAATAATGCAGTTAAATTAGACTCTAGAATTAGGGGAATTTGCTGAGTGATTTTCTAATTTATATTAGGTCATTATGTAGATAGCAAAACAAACTTTTTATTTCACCTTTGGCTGTGAAACCACAATGTGAATAACATCGGCGCGGCCAGTTGATAAATCTGGATAATGCTAGACTGCATTTTCGTACATATGCGGCTATGTAAATTTCTTTTCGATATATCAAATTCAAAAATCCATGAAGTGCCTCATCATTAACAGTCTATTAATATCCCTACTGGTGGGACACAGGCCTTCCCTATGATAGAATAGAGAGTCAAGTTCATCGCGCTATCATGTTTTAGTCTGGGCAAGTAACCTACAGAAGGCCAAAGTAAAACAAAACTATGTAATTTTTGGTTGTGTGGTTGATGATGGCTACAGGGGATAGTGGATCAGCTATCTTCGCAACTGGAAACAACTTGAATCATCATATAGAGTTAGCTGATTTGCTGCGAATTGAACAAGAAAAAAGTGAAACTGTTTTAATTTTACCTGAAAATTTACACTGAAAAATTGCTCTTCTGCTATACGTAAAACAGATCACTAACAGTATTTCAATACAAAGGAAATGGAATTACAACCAATCTCGTTGGTCAAACAAAAACGGTTCTAATAAGAATTGTTTAGCAAACAATGCTTCAATGAGAAACATAAACAAAAAAATCATCGCTTGGCATTGATCTTGGCGCGTTGATGTCTTTTGTTCGGGTCACGCAATTATTCACACTTCGGTACAAAATTTCATTGAACTGGCATTGTCTTTTGAACGAGCCGTTTTATTTTCCTGTGTAACGTAAATATTGATACGATATTGTTATTTAGTATAGTATTATAATATAATATGATAAACTTATTGTATGATTACAAAAAAAATACGATAAAACATTTTTATTTTTTAACTATTGAAAATATAATTAACATCGCATAAATAGATAAAGAAGTAATATAGGTGATGGGGGGAGGGGGAAATCAGAAATCAGAAATCAATATGTCTTTATTCAAATTGGATGTATAGTACAACACTTTTGAATCGTCCAAACATTTTTTTCCCTACCACTCGTTATTGGACATATTTTTTAGCTGCGGAGAAAAACGAGCGAAAAAAATTCCACAACATTAAAAGAATAATGTAACAACATTTACAAATCATTATGTTGTTACAACGTCAATACAATTATGATTTATTTAATATAGAACACCTGTTGGAATGATTGGAACAGTTCAAACCCAAGCATTTTTGTCTGTAATATAATCAGACACTTTGTAATAAGCTTTTTTAATAAGTGCTTTTTTTATACTATCTTTGAATTTATTTATGCTTAACTCTTGGATATTGCTTGGGACTTTATTGTATAAGCGAACACAAAGACCTTTAAATGAATTATTGATTTTGTGATTTTGTGGGGGTTGGTAGTAAACGAAATTCAATAAAATCCGCCATTTTTTTTCTTTTATCAAAAAAGATGAGAGGGTGCTGTACCAAGACGTGATGTTATGCGACCTTTCAAATCAATATGTTTGAGTAATGTTTTGATTATGTGAATAAGAAAAATACGTTACTCTGTTTTTGGAGTGAAATGTACGAAAAAGTGTAATGTATGCAGGGTTCATGTTAATTCTTTATTCCACCATAAGTTCTAAATGCCTGAACCGATTTAGATGTGTGTGGCATCGTTAGAATCCTTTCAGTATCCCCGGTAACATAGAATACCAAAACTGCTAAAACTGAAATAACAGCAATATCAAAAAAACAATTCTGAAGTTAATTAAAAAATAGTCTTCTAATTATTACAATATAGGTATCATTTCATAGGTTTTAATGAGACCATATCATCTGTATACAAATATGGTAGCAATAATTAAAAACGGGATAAACACTAGAATTTTATTACTTTTTACTTCATATTTTTTATCGGCAATCGTGTTTCTTAATTATTCTGCATTGCTGGTAGACGCAGAAAAAAATTAACAAAAAAGGAGTGTGCTTATGACCACACGACCGAAGTGAAACTTCTTTAGCTCCATCTGTATGTATGTATGTATAAAAAGATTTTAAAAAAATATGAACTACTAGCGGCCCGCCCTCGCTTCGCTTCGGTGTAGAGCTGAAGTGTAGACTACAATTTTTGTTCTCAGGCTTGTATTATACACAATGACATTCATCTATGATTCTTCTTATACCTGCATGCAAAGTCTCAGCTCGATCGGTTAAAAATTAATAAAGTTTCATACAAACTTTCATTCATTATTTTATCCCCTTGGGGGTAGAATTGATCAAAATCCTTTCTTAGCGGATGCCTGCGTCATAACATCTACCTGCATGCCAAATTTCAGCCTGACCCGTCCAGTGGTTTGGGCTGTGCGTTGATAGATCACTATGTCAGTCAGTCACCTTTGAGTTTTATATATAAATATACAGATCAAAATGTACAATATATACATGTATGTACATACATATTTCATTTACTAGCTATAAGAGAAAGAGATAAAGAAAATGTGTGCGTGCACTGCTTTCTCTTGCTTATATCCCCCACTCAACTCTCGTTCGCCTCGCCCGAACACACTTTTTGTAACGTGTAACGCATTCGCTAGATTACCCCCCAAGTCAAGCGTGTGTTGAAGTTTCACTTCAAAAATATCATTTAGACGAAGTTGCAGTCTGAAGTTAGTTCTATATAAATATTAGATGTTCTTTCAGCTCAACCTAGACCACATATGAACAAAATAAGAACAAATATGTTTAATAAGACTCGCAAACTAATAATATCTACAAAACTTTCAAGCCAAACGCCACCTTATTCCCTAATCAATAAACTTCAAACTCTCATAACGCAAACTGTGACATGTCAAATAAAAAACAAGAATTGAAATATATCGAGTTTTGCCACTGACCTTCCATTATCCAGACTCATATTGAAAGAAATATCATTCGAAAAGCTACTGTATCTAATCGGAGTAAGATACGATGTTGTATGTTTGCTTATAGAATTATACTTTTTACATTATTTCTCTGCTGCATCTTCAAAGCATTGCAAATAAAAAAAAACCGGCCAAGTGCGAGTCGGACTCGCGCACCGAGCGGTCCGTACAAACTCAATTTAATACCTCTACACGTTCATGAGAAAAGAGGTAGTAACTTTAAAAATTTCAAAAATAAAATTTTATACTTCAATGTTACTAAAAATTTACGGTTTTCGCAATTTTTCCTTTATCTGTAGTATAAGACGTTACTTCCTACCCTGTAGTTTTTGATATAAACTTCAATATAAATGCAACATTTTCCTGTCTTCATTAAAAATCTTTCTCCGTTGCCCAATATCGAGTATCGCGTAAAACCTTCGACCAATAATTCCCGTTAAGGCACAACGAGTTTTTAAGCATCCTCCACCACTGACATCATCTTCTTATTTCACCGTAAGGTCTAGAATCGCCTGCACCACACTTACGATCTTCTTGCGCGCTTGCCGAGTGCGTTGAGCGCTCGCGCAACTCAGTATACAACCGACTTTGAACCGCGGCAGCCATGCGCAAAAAAACGAACAATTCAAATAACGAAAACGAACATTCTTTCATATCGCACTGAACGCGTTCCTATAAGAAAAAGAAAAAAAAACAAACCATAAACTAATGTCTATTCAATTTAAAACATTCTAAATTTTGAACAAATTTAAAAAGCTTCACACTCATTACAAAAGCATATGGCCAGTCCAAGGATGTGAACTTTTTTTGGTTTCGTAGTGCTTACAAAGGAATGTGGCTTCAGTGTTGTTACGCGTAAGAGCGAGTGTTGTGTGAATTCTTTCGAGATCATTGTTTTTTTTAAGTGTGGTGGTGTCAACCTTTGCGGAGTGCCAGAGTCAGTGTAGGATTTAAATTAAGTTCTTTTAAGGTAAGAATTTTTGCTTCGTATTTCAGAAATAAGTTCTAAGAACTCTTTTTATCATTGGCTGTTTTGAGAATAGTTCTTAACGCGACTAACTACAGATCGTGTATCTTAACGAGCTATAGAAAAACCAAATCGCTTTTGAAGCCTTCGAATCTATTGTTAAGGTCGTATATAATTGTGGAGCGAATTAATGGTTTTTTATCGATAGCGAAAAACTCCAATCGCTCACCATTCATTCGTACAATGTTTTTATAATGCACTATAATTTCTCAACAGCGATCAAATTGATAAAACAATGCTATTATATATAAAAACTATCCAGGATAAAAAAAACAACTGTAATAGATATATTTCTTATACATAGCGTAAGTATTTGTAGCTTAAAATAAGTTAAGCGAGTATTTCTTTTTATTCCGTACTGTTTGTTATTTTGGCTGAGAGCTAACTAGGGTTGCCAGATGCTGGCTTATCAATTCCGGGACATTTGCACCTACCCCTTTCCTCCCTGGAAAAATAAAGCATCAAATCAAACCCCGCCATTAGCCGCCAGAAGGAAAATATCAAGCAGGCCAGCGGTGTCATTCATTATTAGTTTATTTTGTTACGAAACTAGCACATTATCGGAATCCGGGACAATGTAGTCTTATTACTGGACACGGGAGAAGACACAATATTCCGGGACAATCCCGGATTTCCCGGTCATCTGCCAAGCCTAGAGCTAACCCCTTGTTTCCACCAAAAAACAATTCGTTTTAAACAAAACTTTTATAGTACTTCTTGTGGCTGTTTGAAACATTTTTTCGTTTACACTGCATAGACATCTAATATGTTACAAGTATAAATCAATTATTTACTTCACATATTTGTTTATCCAACAAGTTTGATGAAAGTATTGTATACTACATGTTCTATACATGTATATAAGTGTGGACAAAACATTAAGACATTGTATCAATTTTTTTAAACACATGTATTATACCTTTGTGTAACAAGGAAAACCATCAAAATTGTCAACTCATCAGATCAACCTATGCATGAATAGAGTTACATATGAAAATGTTATCAAATTACTTTTGTTATACTTTTAGGCGGAACGGACGCATATATTTTACTGGTAAAAACAGTTATTCTACAACTTATATAACTTCGAAGATAGCAATTGAATAAAGGTACGTGTGATTTTTGTTTCCGAAGAATATAGAGTCAAGAGCACTAGTACCTTTTGGATAGGCAAGAAAGCAGCCTGCACGGCTTCAATTTTGTTACAAACTGAGACTTTTTACTAAATGTTTGATTCTAGTTTTCTTATTTGCCATATTATCATAATGTGACGCGACAGGACATATAAATATTGTAAAACAAAGTTATATCTTCACATAATATTGACACGTTTCCCAAGCATAAGGTCTGATATGTTTTAATAACATAAAGATGTCCGTAGTAAATTGTCACATTATCACAAAAGATACTCTTAAATACCAAAATATAAGCCGTAAATGTAGTTTTTTTTAAACAATAATTGCGTCATAATTTGCTTCTCAATGTTTAATATGATTGGTAAAAAAATCAAATGCTAGAAAAATACCAATACAAGTTAAAGCAAATTTTACATCTTACAAACTTCAAATCGCTCTACTGTAAAGTAGGGATCATGCAGAAGTAGAAGTGTAATCGGCCCCCATAGACTATAGACTAGAGTTGCCAGATACAGACTTAACAATTCCAGGACATTTGCACCCCCCCCTGAAATAATAAAGCATCAAATCAACGAACGAGAGAACTATCTCTCATGAGCTCACGAAAACTATGATAGTTTTCGTGAGCTCGCACTCGTACTAAGGGTTCTGGTTCCCACTTGTCGGGTGTCCGATCCATATATTAATCGGATGTCGGTGCCTTTGTTCACACATACGATTAATAATCAGTTGTCGGTCACGGTTGAAGCTTTAACCAATTTTAGGCACTCTACGCGAGGCGACTGTTCAGGATGGACGTTGACGAAGTTCTTGTTGTGATGTTCCTATTATTATTTAAGAAAACAAAGAAAGAGAGCCATGGAATGTAAATATTGGGTGCAAATATACCTGAGGGAAAGATCTGATTTTGGATAAATTTCAGAACTTAATAACAGAATTGAGAAGTGACGAAATTAAGTGTTTCTATTATTTTAGAATGTCAATATCAACATTCAACGATCTGCTGACTCAAATATTAGTGAACAAAAATTACCAATATACAGGACTTAGAGAATGCGTTTGTACTGAAAAAGGGTTGCGTTACGGACGGAACAAGGGGTAGCGGGGGAGGATAATCAGCCTCGACACCCGACAAATATGAACAGCGCCATTCATAATCATAGGCGAGCGAGATCCGACACGATTTTTTCCGGACGTAGAGGGCTGGCAAAACACCCGACACTTCTTGTCGGATTCAACGATCTACTGACTCAAATATTAGTGAACAAAAATTACCAATATACAGGACTTAGAGAATGCATTTGTACTGAAGAAGGGTTGCGTTACGGACGGAACAAGGGGTAGCGGGGGAGGATAATCAGCCCCGACACCGACAAATATGAACAGCGCCATTCTTATTCATAGGCGAGCGAGATCCGACACGATTTTTTCCGAACGTAGAGGGCTGGCAAAACACCCGACACTTCTTATCGGAGCCGACACAAAATCGGTTTCCGATAAGTGTGAATAGCTTCATATATAATGCTCTGCCACTGGAACCGCCGATTAATATACGGATCCGACACCCGACAAGTGTTTTTTTTTTTGAGTGTCTAAGCTGTTGGTCGCAGATGACCTTTACAGCGTCACCGGGTTTGGGGACGGCGAGATCCTAAGGGGACCTCAAGCCGAGAATTGGCGAGTGCCTCTGGAGGTATTCCAGTCGGATGGCGTCTCCCCGGGGAGAGTCTCCACTCCGTCTGGAGCCTCCAGACTACTCGAACCTGAGGGGGTCGGCTCAACTAGAGGGCGTCTATGAGACTCGGACCTCAGCTCTAGTTAGCCGTTGTCGTGGGGGGCGGGGACCCGACAAGTGGGAACGAGCTGTATGGTGGAGTTTATTTTCCTAGACAAGCTCTTACTTAACTCTTTAATAAAATGTTTTCAAGCCATTATGAAATACAAATTACATGAGTTCACAATAGTTCCGGCAGTTGGCGAGTATATTTGTACAATGACGTCAGAATGAATAAAGTGATGCAGTGGGTGTATTGGCTCATTCATAACCTTGAGTCAATCGCTATGAATATACATAGTAGATATATTTTGCTCATTATTGTTAAGGATAAAATTAAAAGTGATTTCGTTCTTAGCAATTTACTCTGATGAGGTTAGCGCGTTCGGCTGCGATCGTTGAAGTTAATCAACTTTCGCAGCGGTCGGTCATTAGATGGGTGACCAAAAATCTTCTATCTCGAGGTTCTCCGTGCTTCGGAAGGCACGATAAGCCGTTCGTCCCAGTTGCAACTGCAGTCATTAGCACCCGCCAATCCGCACTGGGCCCGTGTGGTGGGCCCAATCTACCTATTCCATTCATAGGGAAGGCCTGTGCCCCAGCAGTGGGGACATTAATAGGATGATCATTATGAATTTACTCAGAGTACTTGTAACTTTTGGAAGAGTGATTTAGGTTTATAATAAGAAAGATTGAAGAAAACTCAAAACTCTTTACTTAAAAAATAATCCCTATTTCCTTAAGTTATAGAACTAGAGAACAACTTTACAGAGTTCATGTATTTTCTATTTCTTATGCTTTTATGAAGTTTCTTTACAAAAAAAGAAAAAATGTGTGCATGGTCGACACATCTGAATTGAAATTTCTTCTCTTAAATAGTCTAACATTAGGTGGTGCATAAGGCATAGGGGGATGGAGCAGCGCACGCATCACTCATATATGTATATATATATATATATTGTTGTGTGTGACGCTCGTGACGCTCGTAGCGTTTCAGCCTTCGCCGAGTTACCCTCCAACTTTCATGCTCGCCAGGAAGAACTCCCACACACACACACAACCACACACACATATATATATCGTGTGACGCATTTCCGTTTTATCTTTTCCATAGTATTTTTTCATTTACAACCAGTCCGACAAGAAGTTTCATTTAAAGAAAAATGAGCGAGGTAAACAGCAAAATGGAATATATTATATATAATATACATAGACATAGTGATCTATCAACGCACAGCCCAAACCACTGGACGGATCGGGCTGAAATTTGGCATGCAGGTAGATGTTATGACGTAGGCATCCGCTAAGAAAGGATTTTGATCAATTCTACCCCCAAGGGGATAAAATAGGAAATGTAAATTTGTATGCAACTTTGTCAATTTTAGGCCGATCGGGCTGAGACTTTGCATGCAGGTATAAGAAGAATCATAGATGAATGTCATTGTGTATAATACAAGCCTGAGAACAAAAACTGAAGTCTACACTTCAGCTCTACACCGAAGCGAAGCGAGGGCGGGCCGCTAGTGTAAACATAAAACTCTTGTCCCCTTATTAATAAACAAAGAATGAGTTTTGATTTGATACTCAAATGTTTTGTCTTTGTTCATTGAAATACAAATGGCGCTTGAGTGATATGAACAAAACACGGTGTAACTAATCTAACCTTATTCCTCGTATATTATTAAGGGGGTAGTGGAAAACGCGGAGAATAGCCTAGCTGAGAGAGTTGAACCATCTTCCAAAATTGTATTTTAATTTAAACTCAATTCGTTCGTTGGTCACATGCGAGTTTGTTTTGGTTTGACTGAATGACGTCTCGCATGTGAATAATGAACGAATTGACGTTTTGTTCAATTTTCATTCATTCATTCATCATCAGCCTATTAATTCCCCATTGCTGGGGCACAGGCCTTCCCTATTGATGGAGCAGGGAGGTTGGGCCATGACCCACCACGCGAGCCCAGTGCGGATTGACGGGTGCTAACGACTGCAAATGTAGCCAGGACCAACTTTCAATAGGTAATTTTTTTTTT